TGCCTCAACAGTAAATTGTGGCGGAAAGACGAAATCCTTATTTTATGTTTGCTCGCATTATCCTGATAATAGACCATCTTCGTTTGTAATTATAGGGATGCTATGTGCACTGTTCATACCTTTTTTACCTTCCTTCCTTCCTTCCTTCCTTCCTTCCTTCCTTCCCTCCCTCCCTCCCTCCCTCCACAGTGAATTACTGTCTTGTATAGGTCTGAACAATGAATTAATGTCTTGTATAGGTCTGAACAACCAATTACTGTCTTGTATAGGTCTGAACAATGAATTACTGTCTTGTATAGGTCTGAACACTGAATTAATGTCTTGTATTATGTCTGTAATGGTATAAAGAATAGCCAGATCCCTTTGGTTTTATATGTTTTATCTAATTTATAATTTATTTTATATTTTAGGGTTACTTTTATCATTTATACGTAGGCCTATACATGCACACATATTACCATGACTGTTTTGTTTTTATTGAACAAATAGAATTGTATATATAATATAATATTCTACCGGTCACTAGCCATATAAAATATCTTTACTTCTTAAAAAGCAGGTTTTGGCTGTAAAATATAATTCCTAAAAAATGAAATAAGTTTATCAGTATTACGTAACTGTAGGTATTTGGGATAGCTAAAACTGACCTTTTCGTATAAACTTTCACACAGATCGTCGTACACAGGGCAATCCAGCAATACATGCCATTCATCCTCAATACTTTCCTTACACTGAAAACACACTCTTTCATTCACATCCCTATTCGTATGTCTTCGTGATCTAAATTTCGAGAAGGCAGAGCGGTAAGAACGAGGCATATACATACTTTCACACCCATACACATCTTTAAACATTCTATACGCGCGTAATTTATAACCACCCGTTCTTCCGCCAGTCTTGAATAACAGTTCATTCCACATACTTTCCCATGCGGATATCTAAATATTCAGACCCCATTCGTTCAGCTTTGCCCTCACACGAAAGTTCCAGTTTTTCACGCGTCCACAAGCATACCGTTCAAACCACCTGAAACATACTTATCTAATCTGAAGGACATTTAAGTAAAACGACAATACAGTATTCAAAACATGTAATAGACGATTCAAATCATCTGCCGATTCTGCAAGTAAAATAAGATCATCAGCATATGCTAAAACTGCAATAGTAATATCATCAACACAAATCCCAATACCAGTTTCATTTAGTTTGTCAAGCAAATCATTAATAAAAAAGTTAAACGGAAGTGGCGAGAGTAAACATCCTTGTTTTAAATCCTGATTATCTTTAAACCAGGATGTAAGCATACCATTTATACGTACACTGCATTCCACATTATCATATAGAGATGATTGAAGTGCTAGAAACATTTTCCCTTTCACACCAATGTTGCATAATTTCTCTGTTAATGCTATCATAAGCTTAAAAGCACATATGAAAGTCAATAAAATCAGAAAAAGTGTCTTAATAATACCTTTTCTTGTTTCAATAAAAGAACAAACACGGTGAATATGATCCGTAGTTGATCTACGCTTGCAGAACCCATTTTGTGCATCAAAGAGCTCCTGTACTCTTAGACCAAGATTGCAGACCGGTTTTTTTAAATATTACAATATAATTTGTACATAGAATTGATGAGGGTCAAACCTCTATAGGATATAGTATCCGAAGGATGTAAAGTAGAACACGTTAGTATGCAGGGATTTTCCCTGTGCTAAAACAGATATTAAAAATAAGGTGCATAGCCGAAATACCATTTTGTTATTTAAGACATTCCATGATATATCGTCAACACCAGGAGCCTTGCCACAGTGGCTTCTATCAACCGCTGTAGTTACTTCAATGAGAGCAATTTTAGCGTCGAACAACACATGTGTGTCACCAGGCTCACTGTCACACTTGTCATTCCCTGAAACCACTCTCTCTCTCTCTCTCTCTCTCTCTCTCTCTCTCTCTCTGAATCACTGCCATTGATGTTAACACTCCCCCACCATACCCTCCAAGCCACTCGCCCACACTTTGAGAAACGCTCTCACGGCCCAGGTTTATTCTGTGGCCCAATCGCTCGAGGTTTCCAAAGAACCTCCGGCATTATGCCATTCAATAGTTTGAACCCTGGGCACCAATAAATCGCGGCAAGCATTTACTGAACACCAGTGGTAAGGAAAACAAACGAGCCCCACTTTGTATATTCCCCCGCATTGCCGCAGCATTAACTCTACCAAGCTGTTGAGGTATATGACTTTAGCGCAGTCGGTACTGTGTCGCGTTTCCTTAACAAAGTATATGAGTTCGTATCTGCTGGGTTCCCTTTAGTTTTTTACATGATCTTTTATAGACATATACATAACAGCTGAATGAATAGTTTACCGTGTCGTTAAATAAAGCATGGATAGCGTTCTTGTAAAACAAAAGTAATGGAAATTATTTGTTTGCTAGAACCTAAAACTTAGAATCAGGCTTGCAGCCGCATTATCCAACTCGGTCTCTGTGAACGGCTATTTTTGAGATATTTTCCTGCCGCTTCACTCAGTTCAGTCAATAATGAACAACCCCTCTTGCGACAAGGACAGGCCGCTTGGGACGGTAAACTCAAGCAAGTCTCAAGAGAGAAGGGGGGTGAGAGAGGGGGCGTGAAGGGGTGTGGGCTGGGGTGGGGTGGGGTGGGGTGGGGTGGGAGAGGAGGCAGTGTATTCATGTTCCGGGTCAATACACTTATACCTTTCCCAGCTGACAATGATCTGAAATTGGATGAAACTTTAGTAGTTATGGCACTATGTATTTCATGTGCAACATTGTGCAACATTGTGCAACATTAACCAGCGCAAACGGCCATTCAGCCTCCCTATCCGATACTATATGAGTTTTTGTCACCTCTTCCATTATTACATGTTAAACACTGAGAAAGACTGTGCAACGTGTTTCAATGTGACATTCTGAGAGATGTGTGCATTTAATCACTTAGGTAATACATTAATACAACGTATAGACCCATGAATATCCGGGGTAGAATAGGTCTTCAGCAACCCATGCTTGTCGTAAAAGGACACTAACGTGATCGGGTGGTCAGACTCACTGACTTGGTTGATGCATGTCATCGATTCCAATTGCGTGGATCGATGCTAATGATGTCAATCACTGTATTGTCTGGTCCAGACTCGATTATTTACAGACCGCCGTCTTATAGCTGGAATAATGCTGAGCGCGGCGTTAAACAACAAACCAATAATACAACGTATGGTGCTGCCTATACATTGACATCCCTCAAACCAGCACCTCCCTTGCCTACAGCACAGGGGAACACTTTTATAACAATGTGTCATGAGTTTTATAGTGCTCCAATAAAACGTTTGAGTCGAAATAGTTCATAAAACGCAATTATTCATTTATAGTTCAATAAGTGCGCTGAGAAATGGTAAGATCTATATAAATATAACGTCTAATATTCCAAAAGTATTATTCTTACCCAACGAATAGTGTTGCTCTTTCAGTTTTCGAATGAATCAATAGTATTTGTCTTTGTGGTTTAGGCATCTTTTGCGTATTTACAAAACTTGAAATAACGTACGTATGGTATATGGTATTCCATTTTGGGTCCCCGAACAAAACCTGCACTGGTGGTTAACGGGGTATGTTGCTAGCTTATAACCTACAAATAAATTATCCCATGGCCAAACAAACGATCCTGTACACCCATAAGGTCCAAATGTATTATTTCACAGCGCTAATGTGGCCACCGATATAATCTTATTAATCTCGCGGTATATCCGAACATTTATAAATAGAAAGGGTGTTTTCCAGACAATTCACACCCGTCTGAAAATCCCTTTTGTGCTACTTTGGGGTTCTTTTGGAAGTTCTTGTGACTTCGGGTTCTGTTCGCAGTCTCTTGGCACCGCTCGCTTTGGCCCAGGGGCACCCTTAGTGGCTGCAAACCCCCTTTTTAGTGAGAACTCTTTTTTTAAAGAACTACTTAGATACTACATGAACCCCACACTCAACTCTCACCCTTCGACCCCAGCCAATCCAATCGCTCCCTTTTCACCGACCGACTAATCGCTTTTCTCCCTTTCCCTTTCTTGGGCCTCGATTACCCGGGCCCGCTTTTACCCCGCTTCTGCCCCGCTTTTACGCCCATAGTTACGGCTTCGCTTTCATCCATGTTTACGCCTTTGTTTTCAAACATGATGTATTAACAAATATTTTCAATTAGCGTGTCGTGTCCTGTCTTGTCTTGTCTTGTATTATCTTTCATTTCATCACATTTAAAAAAAATTAAAAAAATTAAAAAAATGAATAAAACCAAATTTAAAAAATAAAATAGAATTTTTAAAGTCAATATATTCAGTCTACTTCTAGTCATTTTACTTCTTGCACGGGACTGGCGTATTTATTTTTGGCTTTCTTGCCATTTTGTGTTCGTGCTGTTGTCCTTCAGTGCAGCTTTAATTCTCTTTCCAATTGTCACCATTTATTGCACACATGTCTTCAGGTTTCAAAGTGTTAACTACTTTACTTTCACGCCTTCTGTTGTCTACGGAAGCCTTTTAGGGCCATGTCTTTCTTTCTCCAAATTTCAACTTACTATCTTCAAATTTAAAGGAAAAAAACAACAAAACAAATGGCCCGGAAAGGTTTCCGTAGTTGTCTGTAAAACAAATATTTTTATTTTTGTACTTTATTTTTGGCAGGAACCAATAAAGGAAAATATCTTTCATTCGTCATACATGTAGTCATTCCACTTTTCACACAAATCCACCACTTGACTACACCGACTGTACCGAGAGCATCTGGGTATTGCACCGACCGCCAAAAAACGCAGTTTAGACAGCCGGTACCAAGCCACTTGGAAGACACCGGCTACACCGAGAGCATCTGGGCATTGCACCGACCGCCAAAAAACGCAGTTTAGACAGCCGGCACCAAGCCACCCGGAAGGAAGCGGCAAAGCACCAATCACAAGCGAGGTCACGAATGCCAAAGGCTGTCATTTTCTCCATCGGCTGGCCATGGGGCAGCACGTATCTGACGGTCGCTGGCTGCAATCACCACACCCAACCGTGCTCGCTCGGTCTTGTCGCATCTGCATCGAGGGAGAGGACGACTATGCACATGTATCTCAAGGTAAGTTCATTCGTATATTTCACTGACATCTTTTATTTCTTGCAAAGACCGGCCATTCTGTCAAACAGGGACGAAGCACGTTCCAAACCCTGCCCTCTTGGTCATTTGCAACGTCTTCTTTCATCACAGAAAATGTCACCTGTTTTTGCCGCTCTCTGGTGCACGTGGCAAGTGTTTTCGTGGCGAAGAAGCAGGCGGCGTGCTTCCTGTATTCTTGTATGTATGATAAATGCGTACCTTCACGTTCTGACCACGCCCTCTCACAGTGTATACAACTACCGTATTTCATCCGACAAAAGAGCTGGACTTTATTATCATTAATCAATATGCACCATTCATTCATCCATTTGTTTGTCTTTATCCCATTGCTGCTGTACAGGCCTGCCGAACTGATGTCACACTACCCTGGCCCTCTCCCTTCCCCCCCCCAAATCCTGTCATGCTGCTTTAAATGCAGAGGGAAAAGTTAACTGTATCATCGATTATTACTCCTTTAACATCTGCCATTTTTTCTTCTAAAAACTTAACCTAAAACTCAATAACATTGTTGACATTAGTCTCTTTGTGTTACCACTTTATTGTAACCATGGTAACAGTTCTGTAATTATCCAGTATCATGAACCAGGAAAAGTGACATTTATTGAAATCTTTCCATCTAAATTTCTAAGAAATAGATTTTTTTGTGTTGGTTTCCAAGGTATCAGAATGTTAACATTTGTGGAGTAATTATGGTTAATCTTGTTTTGGCTGTTAATCACTTGTGCTCATTGTGTTGGACATTGTTGCAGACCCTCACCAAGATGGCTCTGTGGCTGCCGACACAATCTCTGACACAACTTACCACAGCCCCTGATATTTTCTTCTTTATGGAGCATTGTGAAAGGTAGGTCATTTGATACCTCGGTCTCATTGTGTGTTTGCGGTATCCAGCACCCTGCTCCTATAAAAGCCAGGATTTATCCAGAATTCCAAACAAAGTGCTCTTGGCAGGCAAATTTGGGGGGGAGGAGGGGGGGAGGAGGGGGGGCAATTTCTGATATTGTTCAAAATTGTATTTTTGTTCATGTTAAAAAAATTGTGCTTTCTGAGGAATTGGAAAATTTTAGATTCAAATTGGGAATTTGTACTGTCATTTGCTTCAGACTTGGGGCTGAATATGGGCCTCTAGTCCAGATAATCCCGAAAGATTATTACAGCAGTGGTGAAGGAGTGCCCATCAGCAATGCAGTTTGCTTGGCCCAGCTTAGTTAGCGCTAATTGGCTGAGGCTGTCGATTGTGGCTCTCACTTCACAGGTCTTGTGTTCCTCTTCAATCCCTAGGACAAGTTGTGTTTGTGTTAGGATGGGTTAATCAAGCAACCCTTTGTGATTATTAGGGTTTGGTACCCCTTTCCGATCAAACACCCCTTTATGGTCATTAGGGTTAGGTACCCTTTTACCATCAAGCACCCCAAAGCAATCCTTCGCGTTAGGTACTCCTTCGCGTTAGGTACCCCTTTCAGGTCCAGCACCTCTTTACGATCCAGCACCCCTTTACGATCATTAGAGTTAGGTACCCCTTTCCGATCAAGCACCGCTTTGTGATCATTAGGGTTAGGTACCCCTTTCCGATCCAGCACCCCTTTACGATCCTTAGGGTTAGGTACCCGGTTTCCATCAAGCTCCCCTATACAATCCTTAGGGTTAGTTTTGTGGAAGGGCATGGGTTAGCTATCTCTTTTACTTGATCCAAGGTAATTTTTGGAAAATCCTTACCATTTTTAACAAGTTTCAAGCACCGCTATGGCTATGACAACAAATGTAACTTGTGGTTGTTTTCAATAAGCGCCCCCCAACCTTTGTCAATTTGCCCAGCTCCCAGGGTGCTGACAACTGCTACCATTTAGTCCTATGTTTATGTTTTTTGTTTCAAATGTCTTGCAACCATGGCAACATATGATACAAAGTATTCCAGAGAATTTCTTCATTTTCAGGAGAGGAAAGTTGGTGGTTTTAAATAATCTTGTCTCTCTTTAAGACCCCATATGACCCCATATCATATTAAACAATGACCCCCATTCTGTTCCACCCCTCATCCCTTCTCGGCTCCATATGATAGCTCAGTTCCACGGTTTTCAGCAGCATTAAACCTCACTCACTCACTCACTCACTCACTCACTCTATAATTATCCAATTGTCAAATATTAAGAGACTTGGATGGTTCCTCATAGAATCCACTGTATACAAAACTTTATTGAAGAGACTACGGTATGTGTTAAATCTTGAAATGAATGCCAGAAACCAGTGTTCATGGGTTCGAATCCTGGTTCGACCCGATTATGTTTCACCACCATGCCCATACTCATAGATTTTGCCAAAGTGGTGAACATCTTAGACCTACCTACATCACATCAGACTACCGATGACTGATTTCTCCCCTCATTGAACTCAACTGCACTTCTTCATAAGATGGGACAAACAGCATCAATGTCCTGTTAATGATGTAATATCAGTAACATTTGACAGAAAAATCATGATGTCAGCAATTAGTCCCACATTTATCTTCACGTCTTATGTTTTCTGTAAAAACAAATTATTGCATAATTATTCTTTATTTTTCAAGCAACCAATGTCTCAAATAGATCTTCTTCCTTATAGATCAACTCCTTCCTACTTGTTTCCACTTTTCACACAAACCCATGTGGACATCCACCCTGCTCATGGTCTCCATTTCACCGACCTCTACACTTGCACAAGTCTCTTAGAATATGGTTATTAGTTCCAATCATAATTCCTTAAATATATCAGTGATACGAACAGTTATTTCCCTTTAAAAGACTGGCCTCCTTGTAGACAAGTCAATTATAATCAGGATAGAATTACTGTATTTTCATGTACTTATTATTCAGTAGAGACTTTGAGCAAGTCTAACCAATCACCCGCCTTTCCGAAACCGGAAGCAGCAAGCACCAATCACAGGCGATAACACGAACGGCCTTGTTTACTTCCATCAACTGGCCATGGCGGCACACATGTTTCTTGTGCCCGGCATCACCAACTTGCTGGTTCTGTCTGGTCAAATCTCCATCGCTGGTCAGGGACAGCTGTAAGTTCCTTCGTATATTTCACTCAACAGTTTCTATTTCTTGCATGTAGCTGCCATTCTGTCAAATAGGGACAAAGCATGTTGGAAACCATGTCACGTGCCTTGGACATTGGCAGGCCTCCAAGACATGGTCACCTGTCTTTGTCTCTCTCTTGTACGCATTCCAAGTGTTTTCGTGGCGAGTAAGCAGGCCCCTTGCTTCCTGTATTCTTGTATGTATGTATTATACGTGCTTACCTTCACACACTGACCACGCCCGAACAGTGTCAACAAACCTAAGTATTCAACTACCGTATTTCCCACAAAAACACCTTCCTTTATTATGAGTATTCAGTCTTTATGCTCAATTCACTGACAAAGTCTTTGTCTTTATTCCATTGCTGCTGTACAGGCCTGCTGACCCAATGTCACACAACCACGGCCCTCTCCCCCCTGGCTCCCACTCCCAAGGAAACAGTTCTTTGTCTCATCTTTTTGTATCTTTAAAATCTCTTCTTTTTTCTAAACACGTAACCTTAAAAATAATAACGTTGTCGGCTCTTGTCATTCGTGTTACTAGTAGATTGTATCCATGGTTACAGTACTGTACTTTTTCTAGCATCCTGAATGAGGAGAAGATCACATATTAACGTCTTATTTATAAATTTCCATTAAGTTCAATTTGTAGTTTATTTCTATGATATCTGGGCATTAATTTTTGCATCGTAATTATGGTTTATCATTCTTCCTTTGGCTGTCAATTAGTTGTGTTCCTTGTGTTGGACATTGTTGCAGACCCAGACTAACATGGCTGTGCGGCCACCAACATGACCTCTCCACATGCCCTCCGGACACAGCCTCCTGACACAGCCTCCGCACACAGCCTCCCGACACATCCTTCTGACACATCCTTCTGACACATCCTTCTGTCACAACCTCCTCACAGCCACTTGATATTTACTTCTAGATGGAAGATTTTGTAAGGTAGGTGATTTCTTTACCATGGTAGCCACTGTGATCGCCTTAAAAGCACCCCACTCCAATAATTCATTTACAGGAATAGGTCCAATTTTCTTTTGTATATTGTCCAGTGTTATATCTGTAATTGAAACGCAGTAGTTTTAAACAAGCTAGTGTATAATATTATGACAGGCCAACAGATGTTCGCTCTTGTAATGCGATTAGTTGCAGGTAAGCGCAATCACGTGCTGTTATGTAACATGCGACAGTCGGAATAAACAGCCGGTCAAGTGGCAGGCTCGTCTCCCTGCTCCCGCGTTTGACGTTCCTCCCTGAGAACCCAACATCCAGCAATGTATAACTATTATCAAACAAGCTTTGATGTCACCAATGACTGAACCAATCCGCTTATATCCCTGACAACAGATTTAAGTTGTTGTGGCTGATCCTGGGGCTCTTATTACAGCGAATACGGTGCTAACATTTTTTGTTTGAAATGTCTTGTAATATGTCATACAAAGGAATCCATAGAATCTTGTCATTTTTCAGGAGAAATCTACTTTTGGCAAAGCGTTATAGACTTGCTTTGGACATTTTACATATTTTTATTTCAGTGCAGTGTTCTACTATCCCTGTTGTACCTGTTAATGTATGAGTGGGCGTGTGTATCTGGAAACTTGTTTCAGTATCACATGTCCCTATACCATGTATACCCATGTGTATATTGCTGCATCAACCCATTGCTGTTGGGGTTAACATAGCCTTGCTCCAAGTCTGTACTGAATGATAAGTCCATGTATGTATAGTCATTTGTTACTTTTAATAGGCAAGTCTAGATAAGCGGCCAGTATTCTTAGGAACAACTTGTTCGTATTATTTTTATAGTATATGAATATTCATTTAAACTAATAATCATTTCCTTAGAAACATGTGTCAAGTCATTGTTATCAGTATGTATACACAGGTGATAATACCGTACATCATGTGATTAAATGACTGGCACATACAGGGTCCTGTTTATTTCTTGACCCTTGGAGTATTTTCAAGTATTTTTGCCATCATATGCCAAACACGAGACATTTTGTGCCCCATATACATGATATGTGTTCTGATACTTTCATTTCATTTCTTCGAGGCCTGTATGTATAGTATACTCCTTGTCTATATCCATATGTATATATATAGATAGTAATAATTAAATAAGTGGAGTAAGATTGAACACAGTTTTAATAGGCTAGCGCTTTCAACTCGTACCACGTACGAGTCTCATCTGGCCATAACGGAATAACGGACATGAAGTAGTAACATATAGTTACGTGACGTCATAACATTTAGGAAACTATGACGTCACAATACCAAGGTGACAATGGACAAATAACTTACGCCCTTACATTTAACTTAGGGTTGTGGTTATGAATGAAATGTTGCTCTTTTTGAAACAATGTAGGTTCATGATCAAATTTAGCTTATATAGCGGGAAAACTAAAAGGTTGTGTGGCTGCTTTATTTGTGAATGGTGAAGATTCATTTTTCTTTTTAATTTAAGTTCTGTCTTTCTGATATACGTTTCATTGCATCCACTACAAACAATCAAGTAAATAACATTTCTAGCATCACAAGTCATATTTTGTTTTACAGTAAATTTAGTGTCCTTTGTAATTTGGACTATACAGCCTTCAATTATATTGCTGCAAGTTAGGCAACGTTCGTCACCGCACTTAGAAACCTGTGGAGTGATGACAACAGAATCAAATTTAGAACTTGTCAAAATCTTTCTAACATTTTTGGGTTGTTTTTGGCTGTTGATAATTTTGTATTTGCTCAATATCTTCTCCATTTTAATACTTTGATTCAAAATAGGCAGGTATCGTTGAACCATGGAAAATGTTTTTTCATGATTAGGGTTGAAGGTAGATACTAGAGTTAAATTATTCCCCATATTGTTTTCTTCAGACTTTTCTCTCAGTTTTAGTTGCTTAATACTTAGCGCCTTCTGTATGTATTTGTACCATTGTTTCCGGGAATGATGTTAAAACTACTCGCCTTGCTGAACTTCAGAGTTTCCTACTGCATCAAAATTATCCCGCAAAGCTAATTGAAGATAGATTGTTCTCCTTTCAGTACAGTTAATAGCTTGTATATGTTGGGGTGTGGGTGTCCGACAACCTTGTTCAATTAGCTGTGCCACCAGCATGGTTGGTGGTTCTGGACTTCTCTGTCTGGAAGTGGTTCCAGGACTGCAGTAGACATTCCCCCCATTGCTCAGTCACACAGTCAGCAAACCTTGAAACACTGTCAATGTGTGTTGGGCCATTCTTTGCTTCTCTGAGACGTCTCTCGTTGCTAGGATGAAGATTCTGTTTCTTTCTCCATCTTCTTTGAGAACAAAGTTCCCCCAGTAATTGTCTGGCGCCAGGCACCCTCTGTGTTGATGTATATAACAGGGGTGAAGTGGTGGTAGCAGCTTCTCTCGTTCACGGTATAATATCGACTGGTCAGAATACAGAAGTGAAATCTTGGACATCAGTTCACGGTAAATCATCTGTCCAGTCCTCAGTCCGCAAACCTGTGTAAGCAAAAGTAAATATGTAAGTCAAAATGTTACGGATTAGTGATTGATTCATAATACATACGATTGAGAAATAGTTCCATTATGCAAATAAACATGATATGTATTGGATTGCAGAGTTCTATTCTTACCTGCAATTCCTCAGCTGTAAATTGGTGTAATGGGCGTGACCTCCTCCGGACTCCGTTCCTTTAGGCGTTGAAGAAAAGACATCAACAGCGTGTTGGTCCGATGGATGGTTCTGTAATCTTCCAAATTTCATAGGAATGTCATTTTTTTGTATTTAATGTAGGTTTACAGCGCAAGTGAGTTGTCGCTTTGAAACGGTTCTTTTTGCTGAAATGATTACCAGCATGACCTGGCATTCGACCTCCAGTGGAAATTGGTACAAACTCGACACGTATATTAGCATTAGCCATTTTGACTGAAGACTAGACAGAAGGATTCTGTTTTATAGCCATATTTGATTATTATTAATTACTGATAAGTACTCAAGTTGAAGTGAACTGTACCGTTTACACAGTTGCACGCGACACATCAAAATCAAAGCTGTAGGTTCGTTTTTTTACTTGTTGTAAGATTGTGATGGCATGCATATGGAAACCCAAAATATTTGTAGTCCAACAAGTGACGTTGCACGTGCCTGTCATGTTGGTGTCTTTTGGCGCCAGGGTCTCACGTGGTTGTGTTTTTGCGATTTTTCCATCTTTTCATCAAATTTTTGCAGTACCTCATTCTTTCCACACAAAACCATCCCAAATCAATTCAGAAATTACCATTTCAATTTTGGTATTAATTTAGTATGGATGTCGTCAACACTCTCTCAGATATTTACGATTTTACTACTTTTGTAGGTTTTGTTGCAGAGTTTATTAAGACCATGATGATAGGTGCATTGTGCGCACTTTAAAAATATGTTTTATATACAATAAAGTCCCATGTGGTTTATTAGTTTCCCCCAAAAAAGGAACTAAAAGTCCGAAGGAATTTAACATTTACGATGCATAACTCATAAGATACAAGACGTCGGTCCCTCACTCAATATGGAACCTCGTCACGCAACTCTAAAGAAAAATACACCTTGGGGTCATGTTAGAATATTATTATTTGTTATGGTTTGTCCTTAGAGGCACTGGCGACTCATCGCTCACACTCCCCGGAACAGGAGACGATTACTTCCGTGTAGATGCTGACATCAAAACTCTTGACTTATATCCTTGACAATTCAACTGCCTCGTCAGCATTATGCCTTCACAATCTGAAAGAAAGTTCACGTGAATCATTGTGATGTTCATTTGAAAGATTTGTTCGCAGTTTCATGTCAATACTATATGTACATGTAATTGAGAAGATAGTATAGCAATTTCAGTGTGATCTAGGTCATAAATTACATAAATTACGAGCACCCAGGCGTCAGTGATGGTCATATTGACACTCACTCTTCAAAGTCAGGCTGTAATGTCTCAAGATGTTTTGGCGTTTGTCTGGGTAAGCCACAGTCATCTTCCTGTCAATCATTCCTCAATTACTTGAAGAATCTTTATCTCTGACATTCGAAAATGCAAAAGATGTTCTATCTATGTGCATAGTTACATACTGATATCACTTTAACGTAGACACAATCGGGACGATCCACGACCCTGGACGAGGCCCAGGGGAGGAAGATTACACTCAGTGTCAGTATCATCCTCATCCTGCTACTTCTGGTCCGTCCATGCATCCAAAAGACGTTACTCGTAGCCATTTCATCAGTTTTATTGTCTCAGTGACTGTAATACCAAGAGTGTTCAAATGGTCCTTACTGACCAATTTGATCAATACAATGTCAGATGGGCGTGCTGGCTGCAAAGTAAAGTCTGGACAGAATCTGGTGAAGTACCAGTTTCACAAATTATCTCTATCCGTCTCAAACTGGCAGCAGTACTGCGAGGCTGATAGCGTCAAACTAACCGATTTATTCTCTTGATGAGAAACACTTATTACTTCCTTCGAGGTCAATCGAAAGTTTCTGGGAAAGAAATTATAACGTGTAGCATGAACGTCGTTTAACGGCCAATACCCACATGGCCTCTTTGGTCGAATGGGATAGTCACATTCTATGGAGCCACACTAAATGATGAGTATTTTAGACAAATTTGGAATAAAAGGAGACCAAGAATGCAACCTGACAGACACATTGTTGCAATGTTTGTTACTGTTACTGCCATTGCTACTGCCTTTTGGTCACACTGTAAGAACGGCAACGGCAAGACATTATTTTTTCAAAGCCCTGGCGAACATATTTCATATTGTAATACCACAAAACTAATATCAATTATACGCAAACGCTCGAGAGTAAACAGCTCTATCACCAATATGTCATTCCCAAAATTGACTCGACTTTTAAGATGAATAAATATGTATGTATTCTACCACTGAAGTAATTACTAAACAGCGTCCGAATATAATGCTGTGGTAAGATGGTTCACCGTCACATTCTCATTGCAGGGAATCGC